CGCATCACCCCAGCATCTCTCCTCATCACCGCCGGCCTCACCGCAGCTCCCGGGTACCTTCAGGCAGGCTTTGGCACATGCAGACTACAGCCGCCGGCGGGTGTGAACACCCCTCAGCAGCGTCAGCAGGAGAGGACGGGGGGGTTGTGTGTCAGCCTTTCCAGGTCGGAGGTTCGTGTGCCAGGACAGGCTGCTGGTGGAGCCAAACCAGGAGCCAGAGCAGCACCTCTGGGCTTGCGTGGCAAGCGCTGGCATCTCTGTCCCTGACAAACCCCACCACTGTCTTAGTCATTTTTCCCTAGAACTGAACGCATTTTAAGCTGCAGGAAGTTTATACAAGGGGTCTTTTCCCTCCTTTGTGGTGTTACAGCAGCTGGATTTGCATCAGGAAACCCACTCTCATGTTCTGATGCTATTTTGCTCCTTTTGAATAAAGCGTTAAGGGCCACATGCCTATAGCAAAACACAGCTCCAGGATATAGATGTTTTGAACCTTCAGAGAACGAAAAAACCCCAAGACTGCCAAGAGAATGAAGGCTCCCATTCATCCCAGCAAGGTGAGATGCTGAAAGCTAAAGCAGACAAGTTACATGTCACCTCAGACTACATCTGCATGCAAATGGTTTTCACTTACAGGGTTTTCTTAATGAGGAAGCAACTCTGGGGCCAGTGAGAACATGTTTATAAGTTTCTATCTGCCTCTTCCTAGGGGCCCAAGGCCACTGGGATCCGCAGCCAGCTGCCATAGCCTTCAGCTTCCCCTGAAAGGATTTCTGAGGGATAGAAATAAGATTTAATAACATGACAGCCAAAGCCATCCATTCTTTCAAGTCATCTGCTTAGAGGCTACTGAATGCTGGATGGGAAGATGCACTTGATGAGGGTCACAGTTATAGGCAGTGACCTGTTATTACTCTGTCTTGAGGAACCAGGAGAGGAGTAGGGCTGATTTTTTACTCCCTGTTTACACCAATGACTCCCAGTCTGGCTCCTTTCTCCAGGTGAGGGACACACCGGAGGGTTTCAAGACTTCTTGTTGAACGATGCTCATGGAAGAGGGAAGCATTTGGTGTTTTCTCTCAGTCCATGGGTGGAGTTTTCTCCCTCATTGTCTTTTTTAGCCCCTGCCCATGTATTGGCATCCTGGGAGTGGTTTCGAGTTGTTTCTTGGGCCATAGTATCTCTGTTAGCCTGCACTGGTGTCAGGGTCTGGCCATGGGCTATATTTTCATCTGAATTCTCTCAGGACGTTACCAGAAAGCTCTGGCTCCATCCATCAGTCCATCTAAATGCTGGACCTCCAATGGCTCAGACATGTTCTGTTGTCCATGCTGCCACTGGAGTACTTGGGACTGAAAACATGACTGCAAGTGTGATTACTGTCACTACCATCCCTTCTGCTGGCATCTAGCAAGGCTTTTGACATGACCCATGGTTGTGATACTAACCACTGCCCCCCTGCCCACTTTGGTTCCATCCGTGCCATTCCTGAAGGATCAGGAAGAGCAGCAGTTCCCTTCTCCATGGCCTCACTACATCTCTCCATCTCTTCCTTCCTTGCCTCTCTTTTAGCAGCAGCAACCCAGACCAAGTGTGTTGGACACAGATCAGAGAAAGCTTTTGTTGGCTTCAGCTCCTCTTGTCAGCACTCTCACAGGCAGCATTTAGGTGACCTTTTCCCACCTGTGCCCCATTTGTTCCTTTTCACTGCTGTAATAGGATGAAAGCACATGAAGAAGGGTTGGACCTGTGGCAAAATACCACCCCTGCTCACGGAAGGTTACATCTACACTCCATGATACCCCTGGACCTTGCTCAGGTGTTGACCAGGGAAACGCCAGTTGGTTGGGGACAGGATGGCAGGGAGTTGTTAGCAATCCATCAGGCTGGACTGATGGGCTTTGCAGCCCAGTGGCTCCACCTTCCTGCTGGCACCAGCCTGGACACTGCACATCTGTATTCGCACCACAAAGTTCTTCCCTTTTCATGCCACCCATCCTGCCTCCTCCCTGTGCCAAAAGCCTCGCTGCCTTGCACGTAATGTTTCACCACTGAGGCCAATGGCCTCATGACAGTGTCAAGCTGGAGGGCTGCTGTTGGGTTGTGCTCTAGATAACACAACCAGATGTGCAGCATCCTTCCATGGCTCCTCAATAAAAACACAACTCAGAGCAAAGCCTCAGCAGCACCATCTTTGTGCTTTTATCCCTTCCACCATACTGTCACTGGTGTCGTGCTTCCTGGCATTGTCTGACTGCACTATGAAGCAGCTGGATTATTTCAGCTGCCCCTAAACCCATTTACAAGGTGATGAGGCTTCATTCTCACTTCATTCTCTTTTCCTTGTGCACATTCAGATGCTTCCTCATCTCTGAAGTTTTTCCCAGTTGTCCCAAAGCAGGAATGAGCTGTTTTGATTTTGCTGCCAAAATATTTCCTATACAATAGAAAAATACCCAGGAAGGTTGCACCAGCAGGACCAAGCACTATCTGTCAGCAGTCTTGGGTCCTGCAAGACGAGCAGTCTTCCTGAAGGTCCTGTGTTCAGCAGAGATGGGTTTAGCTGAGGATAAGGAAGCACTGATGAGCTCTAGTCCAGTCTGGCCTGGAGGGGTGCAGGAGCCCAGTGCAGGGGACTGGGCTGATGCTCTGCCTTGTCTTTGCTTCCTTCCTCCTGTTTTGGGGCATATTGAACCCTGCAAGTGGGATTCATCCCCCAAAGTCAGTTCCATGCCTGCCTATAGATCAGAGGATCAGCAAGGCAACGGGAAAAGGATGCTTTCTGAAAGAGTGTTTATCATGCTAGAGCACAGTGCACGTAAGACCCCGGACCCACAGAGCTGTAATTCAAAGCGTACAGTAGGACTGAAGGAGATATTTAATTCTGTGTGCTATGGGAAGCATTGTCTCTGCCTGAGCAGTCGGGGAGCCCTGGCCCAGATATTTCTGCTCTTCAGCTCCCTCAGCATTCAAAGCCCTTCTAAAACCCTATGAAAGGCCCTCAACCCTAGTGGGGCATCTCGACACATCTTTTCAGTGCTGCAGAGACTCTCTGGCACTTTGGTATTGCCAGAATCTCCGAAACCCATGCACGATGCAGATCTATTGAATGGAATTCTGCAGACAGCTTGTTCGACTCCCTCCTTTCCCATGGATACTGCTTGCCGTGCCCCCGGTCTTTCTGTCTTACATGTCCTCTGTATTGTTCATTTGGGCTGAACTTGGAGGGATTTTGGAGAAGGCCAGGACATGGGGCAGGCACCTGCCTGCAGCATCTTCTCCTCAAAACAGGGAGAGACATTTTGTTCATGGGGATGTTTTTGCTTCATGGGGAAAAACCCAAATCTTTTCGTCAAGAAGATTTCGGTTCCTCACCCTATGAGTCAAACCCCTCCTTGATTCAGGCGTTAAATCCTGTTTTATATCAAAGCCTGAGGCAGGGCAGGAGCTGGTGAGACCCTGGGAGAGCTGATGTCACAGCAAGGTATCATTGCCCCATGCAGATTCTTGCCTTTAGATCCAGCCATGCAATTTTGACCTGGTCTACAACCCACCGCGAGCCCCCGCTCAGCCATGCCGGTCCCCAGATGAAGGGGAAAAGGAATGGAAGGAATCAAAGTGATGCTGCCTCTGTTTCAGTAGGCTCCCCTGCCCCAGGCTTAGGTCCTGAAGTTAGGCAGCCACACTTAGAGCGAGGAAATCATTTAATTCTTCAGGAAAACCTGCTGTGATTTAGCCATTTCATGAACCTGCGTAGCTTTTAAACGCTTCCTGAGCATGGACTTCTCATTGTATTCCCAGTCTTTCCCTACTGGAAATGCACATTTTCATGCTCAAAATCCACGGTAATAAGTAGATTATTAAGAAAAAAAATCAGCTTTTCCCTTTTTGCTTTCTAAATATTCCCAGACATGGCAGTCCATTCCCAAGTTCACTCCCACCTACTTCTTGCCATCTCCATGTTGGCACTGAAAGGATCTAATTCGGTGGTAATCCAGTGATAATAGAAAAGACTTTTCTGGAAAGGTGAAAACAGCCCAAGAATCTTAGTTCCCAAATTCCAGCATCTCCCTCTTTGCCATAATAGATCATTAGGCTACAGCCCCTACCTGGCACATACAGCAACTTAATGAGATATATTCCAATGAGAAATCCCACATGAGAAAGAGAGAAATTAACTGAAATCTTCTGTTATGCAACTCGCTGTCTGCTGTGTTTCAATGACCTGAAATATTTGATTCTGGATTTTTTTTGTTCCGATTACATTTTGTTCATATATTTATGCATCGAGTGTCATCTTCATTTGCAAAATAACTAACTCAGGTTACTTATCAAGCCCATTATAAGATAGAGCCAATTGTTTTAAAGATGATTTTTATTGTTGGTGCAAGGAGCGAAGTGACAATTCCATCATTCAAAGGAACAAAATCCATCTTGGAGGAATTTTACTAAGGAATATTTTCTTCAGGTGCCATTTGCGTTCTCAGCTTATTTGCCGGACTAAATTCACATGACAGAATACAACAAAAGAAGAAAAAGAAGTCCAAAAACTGTAGCAGCCAAAAAGAATATAGAATTAATGGGGTATTTTTTTAAGGATTGATCGCAATTTAAGGGAATTAAGAAAATCCCTGCTACGCAGTCATACGACAGCCAAAATTCCTATTGCACGAGAAAATAAAACCGCATTCTTTTACATCCGAAACAAATGTCTATGGCTACAGGGACGAAAATGGAGAAATTAAAGAGTGGTGGGGAAGACTCCATTTGTGCAAAGGGAAAGCTAAACCTTGCCCTTTCGAAATAACCCCCAAACTTTCCATTCTTTACCAAATTGGAAGAAATTATGCTTAGAATCAAACATGCAGTTGTGGCCAGCTCAGCAGGGCAAAGGGTGGGAAGGAAGGAACACGCATCCACACAGATCCCATCACTAATAATTCATTAATTCATTAATCAAAGAGGGAAAGGGGGGGGGGGGGGGAGGGAAGAAATCTTACCACCAAATTGGGTAACCGGCTAAGACCTTTGTGCCATTGAAGAGAAAAGACAAAATTAGTCCAAGCAGGTGGTAATCCATTAGTCCAGGCTGGTGCAAGGGGTGAATCTCAGCGAAGTTTTCAGAAAAACATGAAGTGTGAAAATGAAGAATCCCCCTCCTCCCAGGAAAAAAAAACAAACCCAATAGAAATCAATTCAAAACACAAGAGTTAAAGCAAGTCCCTGGTAGTGCGGGTGACTTTCTGCCTTGTCAGAAACACACCTCTCCAAGCCTTTTCCCTGTAGATCATCCAAAAGCGTCTATTAAAAAGTGCAGGGCTTGGGGATGTCAGCAGGCAGCCAATCAGACCGCATGGCCCAAGGTAAGGGATGAGTCTCAGCTCAGGGCTGTCAATCACGCTCTCCTCCCCCTCCACCCCACAACTTTGTTCCTTGCTTCCACAGACAAACCCTCTTTGCAAGAGACTTTTCTGGGGCACTGAGATTTTGGGTGTTGGGTTGGGTTGTTTTGGGTTTTTATTGTTGCTCTTTTATATTTATTTTTTTTTTTAATTTCTGGTTTTAATTTCACTTTGAAACCCTATTTTTTTTGCTTTTAATTTCACTTAGAAACTCAGGATGCACCGACTTTGCTTGTGGTTTGGCGTGCCAAGGCTTTGCAAGGTAAGGACGAAGGGTGACTGCGATTACACTTAATCTCATGGTGGGGGTGAGATAGACAACTTGTTCTTTAGATGGAAAGGGAGGTGAACATTAACCCTTGCAGGAGTCAGAGCTAATGGGAGCACTGAAGAGGCAGAATAACCCCCTGGAAGCGTTGATGTGATCAAATCTGGTCGTAAATGTAAATGAAATGTGCACCGCTCAGGTTTATGTGAGTGTGCGGGTGGGATGGATGGAGGGGAAGCTGTGGCAGCCTGGATTTCTATCAATAAGAAGTGCCAGTTCATGGCAAGAGTGGAGCAGGCAGATGGGAAGATGTCCCGTTGATGAATTTCTTGTGAAGTACATCTCTGGATGCAGAAAGATGAAAACATGATCCAAACCCCACCTGTGTAATTAAAAAGGCAATCACGAGCAGTATCACCTTTCTAAAGAGGTTGTGTGTTGCAGGTAGACCCAACAGAGATTGTCCTTGAAAATCCTTGTTATGGCATAGAGACGCTGTTTTTACAGGAGCTGGTATGTCAGAGTAGCGGATCAAGGGGATCACTCAACAGAATGGGACAAAGAAATGGGAGAAGTCAAGGAAGTTGCTTTTGCTCCTAAAGCATCCTCAGCAATCACAGCTGCATTGCCTGAAGTGGAGCTGCCCAGTTTGTAAGATGGAGATTAGGAGCTTTAGGAGTAGCCAACAAAGAAATTTATTGTGGAGGAATGGCTATAACAGAAGTCCAAGGTCCTATCTTGGGCAGCCCAATATAGCTCCTGATATTAAGGCTCTGGGTATAAATGCACTCCTTGATGCTATTTAATCACCAGGGTGCACCTGCCTCATGTCTTTTTTGATTCCCAGTTCTTATGGATTTTAATGTATTTGCACACTGAATTAGTGGAGAGCTGCTCTCATAAGTGGTAATTTGTTCCCTGGCCATCATACATCCAAGAGAGGACATCCACCAGACATCCGCTCTGCCCTTTACCTCTTCATCAGACCCTGAATCTGCTGCAAGGACTATAAGGCCAAGCTTCTCCAGGCTTAATCTGATGGGTTTTCCAGCTGCTTATGACCCATCATAGATGTTAAATATGGCTTGTTCCTCTCGTGTGACTTCAGATCCCAAAGGGTATATTGGGTGTAGTCTATCCTGGCAAATCTCTCACCTGGCCTCCAGCTATGTTTTATTGAATGCAATCACTTGGGTTTAAGAATGCAATGATTTTCAAATGAGAATTGGAGATGAATGGATTTAATAAGATCCACTAAATTAAACACTGCCTGAGAATCTTCCCCAGATCCTGAACTATATTGTGTGTGGTTTTAGCTATGAAACATGGAGCCTGGCATGGGCCTGATGTTGCCAACCTGCAAAGCCTTGAAGAGATTTGAGTCACAATTTGGGATGAGTGTGGAACAGGAACTATTCCAAACAGCCCCTTCAGATGTGACCTATCTCTTCTGGGGCTTAAATGAGTTTAGCAGGATGGATTAAGGTGGTCCTGTGTCCCAGTCTCTCTGGTTCCAGTGCCAGGGAATGGTCACGGGCACTTTTTACTTACTGGTTATAAAGTAAGCCACAGAGCACCCGAATTGCCACTAAACAACCTGTAAGTCTAAATAGCAAAAGCAGACCTGAAATTCTTATACAGGTTTGTACCTCTATTGGGGGATGTTTTGGAGCCACACAACCTTAAGAAGGATTAAACGTGCAGAGCAAGATTCGGTCGTTAAAATGGCAAACTATTAAAGAAGCAGCAAAAGGAGAGGCTGAAGTGAGATATCTCAGGTGATGTTACAGGTGACTGACATCCCATGGAAGAGGCTTAAAAATCCTGACCACTGCAGAAATCCAACTGGGGACAGCTTTTGAAATCTGAATTGAATGATTTGTTGGAGACCATCCCCAAGGTCTGGGTGGCTGAGATGTTCCTGTCCATCAGACACTGGGGAGCAATACCTGGTGCTCTTATATTGTGCTGCTTGATGCTAGGATTGATAAATCAAGCCAATAACAAAATGCTTCATTTCCTGAGAACCAAGTGGGCAAAAGTGACCTAAGACCCAAATCCCAGAGACTTTGCTGGTGTGTGTTGGGCAGAGATCTCAGTGTTGTGCTGAGGCTGCATTGCAAAAGCAGTAGAGATGCTAAAGCACCCATCCACACCCCAGTAACTGCCCAACATCACCTTGGTGAGGCCACAGACAGGTTTTGAAAGATGTTAAAGATTTGATCCCAGCACACTAAAATCAAGGGAAAGCTCTCTATAAACTCTGACAGATTTCTGATGAAGTTTTTCAGGTCCTTTGTCCTCTCATATCTTTAAATTTGTTCCATCCATTGCTACCTTCAATCAGTCTGCTCTGATCATGGACTGTCCCAGCATCAGGAGGAACTCATGTTCCCCTTTGGGAACTGTGTTTCAAGCACGTCTGCAGTTGCTTTGGCTTGGAGATCCTGTGAGATCGTGCGAGTAGAAGGTCCTCACTGCCCCAACCCTGTTCACATGTGATTCCTGCCTCCAAGTTTCTCCCACTGGAATGACTGATATAGAGCAATGGCAGGTTTCAGTAGTGCCTTTGGTTGTACCAGCCTGGATCCCCAGGCCCTTGGAAAGGCAGGCACATCTCACCAAGGAGTATGGCCTGTCTCACAGGGCAGAAGACTATGTTGTCTGTGAACTGAACAGACTCACTCTCAGCCTTCTCTGCTGTGAAATGAAAATCTGATGCTTACACACTAAAATTATCCTGGGGATATTTCATGCTGCCCTGGACAAATATTTATAAGTTCTACAGCAAACATTAATTTTAAATGTAATTTCTAAAAGCAAATGAGAGTTATCCAAAAGAGTACAATTTCAAATTTTCTCTTATAGATACCTCCTTGTGCTGCTGACTGACAGTTTTATTGACTGAGAGTCTTTGCAATTCTATCGGCCTCTCTGCTTTGGCAATATTGACTCGTGGTGACCAGTTTCAGTGTGTCCAGAAATGAAAAAGTGGAAGAATCTGGAGGTTTGGCTGCTCAAGAAATGCCATGTTGCCTTTACAATGTCACTACAAAGGTCCTTCTGTATAGGGCTAACATCGGGGTACTGCAAACCCAACCACTGTAGGTGCCAAGGCATCTAAAAGGATCCTTGGGTTTATTCTAACAGCATTCCAGGAAAGGAGCATTGCAATCACATGGAAAACATGCCTCTCCCTCCCTTTGGTGCTCTGACTCTTGCAGCTTCTCCTTCTTTTAGCTTTTCTTCCTTTCTCTAACAGAATGTACCAGCAAGAAGAAACCAAGTGCCTGGGCAAGGTGACAGACCATGGAGTCTCCTGGGTTTGTTCTCAGCACGTGTTTCAGCAGACCAAGACACTGACGAGTGAGACACCGGGAACTCAACCCTTCCTGGTGCTGATCAGCTGCCCTAGGTGGAATTATCCCATGGTCAGTGTGAGAGGAAGAGGATGACTCAAAAGGCACAGGGAAGGGCAAGAAATGGGTGAGCTGGGATGACCTGACAGAGGCGGTTCAGAGGCCTGATTTGGTGTGTTGCAGAAGGCAAGGAACGTACAAGACCTGTGATCCATGGTGCAGCACTGAGGGATGGCATCAGCATGCTCCATTTGTCGGTCGGCTCTAGTTCAGTGGCCGAGGGTGGCTTAGCTGGGTGCCACATGTTGAAGTGCACATCTGGGCACTCCTGGGCATAGCCAGAAACAGAAACTGAGAAGGTGGGTCCCTCAGGACCATGATCCTTTAAGGGGTTTCAAGTTTTAGAAGCAAATGAGTTGTTTTGAAGACCTTGATTTAGGTCTTAGTATGCAAAGTGGAGCTAACACAGCAAATTACTTCTTTGATGGTTCTCTCCATCACTCCTAAAGTAAGTAATTACTAAAAAGTCCGTAAAGAGAAATCCTTTCAAAGCATGGATGAGCTGACTGAGTCCCTTCCATCCTCAGCTACTGGAATTCTGTGTGTTCTGAGCACTGTTTGCTGCTAACCTGTGATTGGTAACTTAACATCCCTACACTTACCTGTTCCTCAGTTTTCTTGGCCAAATCTGCTCTCTCCTAGATCCTATGTTCCCTCTGGCTCTAACAGACTGTCCTTTGCTGTTTCTTCTTCATATCTCTGTTCATGTCAGCTGGGCACCCCAAGGGAGTCATTACCTGGAAACAGCAATCCTGTATTAACACCTGACCAGAGTGATTTAAAGAAGAACCTCAATGGTTATTACATCAGTTCTAATCTTTGGACAGGAACATCTTTAATATTTCCATGCATCTTCTGGATGTGCTCTACTGCCAGTGATACTGAGTGATACTGTGATGCTCAGTGATACTGAGGGGTGCACTCCAGCATGTTGACATCGCATTGGCTGACCTAGCACATCCCTCACTCCTGTCAGGTGCCTCACCTCCATGTTCACTCCAGGAAAGCATTAATGGTACCTCCAAGTAATCCCATAGTTTATGTGGGGTCGCAGAGTTGCCTTTCATGTTTGCCTGCCTGTTACGTCCACTGAGGCACTGCCTGCAGCTGATGTACAAAGCTGCGAGGTGCTTGCAGGTGAGTTAGCCACAGGGGAAATGCATCTGCTGCTTCAGGAAAATGGATCTTCACATGCTCAGATGAGCACCATGATGTTGTTTCTACCTGATAGTTTTTTGGAAACTTCCCTTTGCTGAAGACACAGGTATGAAGCAGAGGGAAGCTGGGATTTAGCTGCTGAGATGATGGTAATAGCTCAGAGTTAAGCAAAACCCTTTCACCATTGTTTTTAGTGTTTTAGGAATAACCTTATGGCTTACAAACAGCCTTACCTCACTCCATTCTTTTACAACCTATTCTGAGTTCATGGTATGGAAATCTTGCACCTATTTGTCTTCCAGTGATGGTAGAAACAAGTTTGAACCCAGCTTCTGCTGCAATATCACAGCTCTGGTTGGATTTTCAGACCTTTCCTCTATCGTGCCATGGAGAAGTTCAGACAAAAAGTGACCTAATGAAGCCCTAAGACACATGAGCTTTTAGTGACTATGACAACTTGGGGCAAAGAGGGCTGGCAATGAAGCCCATCTCAAACTGCAGTAAACACAAGGACATAAATACCATCTTTGATCGGCACAGTCTTGCCTGGAATTATGTTGGCCCACATTGCATCATGTG